TTGAAATATTGTAGATGTTTTAAAGTTTTTGTAAGCATGGTAACTTTTTCGAAAATTTGATTAATCAAATATGCGCAAAATCGAAAATCGGAAAAACTGAAATTCACTAATGCAAAAAACAGAAAATCGAAAAATACGAATCGTAAAAATCGAAAAGTCAAAAATTTGTAATATTGAAAATTAAAAAAATCAAAAACAAAAATAAAAAAAGATCGGAAATTTAAATAATCAAAATATATAAAGTAGAAAAAATTGCAAAGCCTAAAAACTGAAACGAACAGAAAAATCGAAAAAGCAAAAAATTGGAAAAACAAAAATTCGAAAAATCTAAAACCGAAAAAGTGGAAAATCGAAAATCTGAGTAAAGAAACTTGGAAATTCTGAAAATTGGAAAATCGAAAACCAAAAAATCGGGAAGTAACAAAATTGAAGTCTAAAAAGTGAGAATGGCAAAATTGAAAACCCGAAAATTCTAAAAATCGACAATGGACAAATTGAAAATCGCAAAATTTAAATTGAAAAATTGAGCATAGAAAAATCGATGAAATGAAAAATCGAAAATTCGACTACTCAAATTTTCTAAAAATCGAAAAATCATAAAACCGAATTATCCAAAATTCTAATGGTCGAAAGTCTGAAAACTGAAAATCGAAAATTCTGAAAAGAGGAAAATAGAATATCGAAAAGTTTAAAAGAAAGAAAATTGAAGTCTAAAAACCGAAGAATGGAAAAATTAAAAATCAAAAATTCGAAAAATCAAAATCGAAAACTAAAAAAATTGAAGTCTAAAAGCTGAAGAATGGAAAATTCAAAAATCAAATGTCGAAAAATCGAAAAGCCGAAAAATCGAAAATTTGATGAATCAGATATGCGAAAAACAGAAAATCTGAAAATACAAAACTGAAAAATCGAAAATCTAAAAATGGAAAAACCGAAAATCGAAAATTCAATGAATATAATACATAGGTCGATCGAAAAACCGGAAATTCACAAATCTAAAAAATCGAAAATGTGCAAGACTGAAAAACCGAAAATCCGAAAAATGGAAAAATCAAAGATCGAAAAATAGGAAAACAGAAAATTTGAAAATTCATAATATTGAAAACTCTAAAAGTCGACAATTCAAAAATCGAAAAGTAAACAAATTTCAAAGCCTAAAAAGTGACGAACAGAAAAATCGAAAAATCATAAAATCAAAAAGTGGAAAATCGAAAACTGGAAATTGAAAAATCGAAGATTGGAAAATCGAAAAAGCGAAAATCGAAATATCGAGAATCGACAAATTAAAAAACCGAAAAATCGAAAAATTAAAAAATCGGAAATCGAAAGATGAAAAAAAAACGAAATTCCAAAAATCGAATAATCCGAAACTAAAATAATAGAAAAGTGGAAAAGTAAAAATTGCAAAGTCTCAAAACTGACGAACAGAAAAATCGAAAAATTAAAAAAAATCGAAAAATATCTAAAAATGGAAAATCGTAAAAATGATAATCGAAAAATCGAAATGCTCAAAACTCGAAAATCGATTAATCAATATTCTAAAAATCGAAAAAACGGACACAAATCCATAAATCTGAAAAATCGAAAATCGAAATATCGAGAATCGAAAAATTAAAAAACCGAAAAATTGAAAAATCCCAAATCGAAAAATGGATAAACCAAAAATTCAAAAATCAAACTATCGGAAAGTAAAATAATCGAAAAATGGAAAAATAAAACAAATGGCAGAACCATAAAAACTGAAACAAACTGAAAAATCGAAAATCTAAAAATGGAAAAACCGAAAATCGAAAATTCAATGAATATAATACGTAGGTCGATCGAAAAACTGGAAATTCACAAATCTGAAAAATCGAAAATTTGCAAGATTGAAAAACCGAAAATTGAAAAATCAAAAATCCGAAAAATGGAAAAATCAAAGATCGAAAAATAGGAAAACAGAAAATTTGAAAATTCATAATATTGAAAACTCTAAAAGTCGACAATTCAAAAATTGAAAAGTAAACAAATTTCAAAGCCTAAAAAGTGACGAACAGAAAAATCGAAAAATCGTAAAATCAAAAAGTGGAAAATCGAAAACTGGAAATTGAAAAATCGAAGATTGGAAAATCGAAAAATCAAAAATCGAAATATCGAGAATCGACAAATTAGAAAACTGAAAAATCGAAAAATTAAAAAATCGGAAATCGAAAGATGAAAAAAAACGAAAATCCAAAAATCGAATAATCCGAAACTAAAATAATAGAAAAGTGGAAAAGTAAAAATTGCAAAGTCTCAAAACTGACGAATAGAAAAATCGAAAAATTAAAAAAAATCGAAAAATATCTAAAAATGGGAAATCGTAAAAATGATAATCGAAAAATCGAAATGCTCAAAACTCGAAAATTCGATTAATCAGTATTCTAAAAATCGAAAAAACGGATACAAATCCATAAATCTGAAAAATTGAAAAATCCCAAATCGAAAAATGGAAAAATCAAAAATTCAAAAATCAAACTATCGGAAAGTAAAATAATCGAAAAATGGAAAAATAAAACAAATTGCAGAACCATAAAAACTGAAACAAACAGAAAAATCGAAAAACCACAAATTCGGAAAAACGAAAATCGAAAAATCGCAAATCGAAAAATCGTAAAATCAGAAAATGGAAAATCGAATACTCGAAAATTGAAAAATCCAAGGTCGAAAAATAAAAAAACCGAAAAATCGAAAAATTTAATGATTAATGGAAAATCGAAAAATCGAGAATAGAAGAATTAAAAAACCGGAAAATTGAAAAATCGGAAATCGAAGAATTAAAAACGTAAAATCGAAAATTCAAAAATCAAAAATTCGGAAAGTAAAATATAATCGAAAAATGCAAAAAAATTGCAGCAAAGTCTAAAAACTGATGAACAGAAAAATCAAAAAATCTAAAAATGGAAAGACGAAAAATCGAAAATTGAAAGAATGGCAAATCAAAAAATCGAAACATCGAAAAATCAAAAAAACGAAAAACTAAAAAATCGAAAAACGGAAAAACCGAAAACGCGAAAATTCAAAATACCGCAAATTTGAAAAATCAGAAAATGGGAAAGTAAAAAAATCGAAAAGTTGATAGAAAAATGGAAACTGAAAAATCTAATTTGATGAAACGGTTGGTCGAAAAAACGAAAAATCGAAAATCGAAGTGGTCTTTTTTTGAGACAGCCTGTATAAGTAAATCTAAAAAATATTACTATTAAAAAGATTAAATTGTTACGTTGTATATTATTTATAAAATCTAAACATTATTAACTCCTAAGTTTGCTAATTCTAAAAACAAAACATAATTAACTCCTGAAATTGCTACTTCTAGAAATAAAACAAAATCGGAAACTCGTTTTTTTATTATGTTGTATGTTATTTCTAAAATAGGAGCATAATTAACCCCTAAAAATACAACTTCTAAAACTGAAACACAATTAGCCCCTGAGATTGCTAGTTCTAAAACCCAAACACAATTAACCTCTAGAATTCTACTTCTAAAAACGAAACGAAATCGCGTTGTGGAGGTTCTTTACTCTGTTGCATGCTATTTCTAAAATTGAAACACAAATAATGAAAGGTGATTACCCCAAGATTATAATTTCTAAAAACGAAACACAATTACGGCCCGAGCTTGCTAATTCTAAAACTAAAAATAAAACTCAATTAAAACTCAAAAGATTGCTACGTCTAAAATCAAAACACTATTGTCTCCCAGGGATTGCTATTTTCAAGAACAAAAAAAATCGGTAGTTCGTTGTTTTTTATTATGTTGTATGCTATTTCTAAAATCGAAACATAATTAACCTCTGAGTTTGCTATTTCTAAAACCGAAACGCAATTACGCTCCGAGATTGCTATTTCTAAAAACAAAACAAAATCGGGAGTCCGTTATTCATTACGTTGTTTGCTATTTCTAATGTCTAAACATAATTAACTCCTGAGATTGCTACTTCTAAAAACAAACAACTCGTAGTTTTTTACTACGTTATATCCTCTTTCTAAAGCCTAATCATTAACCCCTTAGATTGCTACTTCTACAAGCAAACGAATATTAAAAAAAACGAAACAAAATGGTTTTTTTTCAGTTAAAAAGGAAAACTCGTTATTTTTGAGTTTTGTGTCATTGATAATTGAATTGTTAATGTTAATTTTTTTGCAAAAATATACACAGCTTCGTTTTCGAATTTTCCGCCTTAATTAGGTTAATGTTCTTAAGTCTCGCTAGATGTCATTGTTGTCTTCGTTATATACATCCACCACAAAAATTTATTGGGTGAAACTTTAACATTACAACAAATCTACAAAAAATTGTTATTAATACAAATTTGCGTCTTCCGTTGTACAAAACGAAGAAATCGTGTGACCACTTTCTAGAACACGCCAACAAAAAACGCACATTTTTAGCTTCTCGACTACAGATGGCGCCACCTAACAATCCGAATATCCGCCAACTAGCGAAAAACATTCAAAATGTGCCATTTACAATTCGTAACATGTTAATGCTCTCTTTTATAACCCAAACATACGTATCCAAGATTTATCCATCCTCCCCTATTTTTTCTCTCAAGTCCGTTCCGGAACCACCCCGCCTCTCCCGGAAGTGGAAATTCCACCGGAAACACCCGGATTTACCCCAATTTAATCGTCGTCAATTCTCTCCTTCCTCCGAACTTTGCGTTTATTTTCTCTCCGACGAATCTGTTTATGATTTAAACACGTTTACACGGCAAACCGAAGAAAGCTCGTGTTTACACACCTGGCCAGCCTTGGCCGAATCAGCGGCATCTGTCAAATAAATAACCCGAAACATAAAGAGGAAGTAAGTATAAACATATTAGTACAAACAACTGAATAAAAGTAAATGTATGATGCGAATCCGCCAGAAATATTCGCCGAGAACGGACGAAATGGGGCGAAGAGGGGCGAGCCGCGGTTTAAGTCGGGCTTAATTTCGTAAATATGTATCAGTTTTCCGGGGAAATGTTCGTTTGCGCGGATTGACGTCGGGGTGGTGGTAGCGTCGCGACGACGGTGACTTACCGAAGCTGGGACAGTGGCGGCGCGAGAAGGGTGCCGGAGGAGAAATTTCGAAGCGTTATTTTTAGTAAAGGTCGGGGTTTGGTCGCAAGTGTTGAAGAAAACATATGGTATAAGAATTTTTAACTTAGACTATAGTCTTTGAATGACCACAATTTTTTCAAAAATACAAAAAAATGTAAAGGGTTTTCTGCTTCATCCATTCCAGAAAGTTGATGACGTCATTTCAAAAAAACGAGAACAAGTTTTGAAATAATTAATTTCAGACAAACCACTCACTAAAACAAATCTTTCAATGAAACTGACATTTAAAATTATTTTTAAAACATTGCTGCTTTGTTCTCACTAATTTTGACCCTAATAAGTGTTAATTTAACTCTTAGCCCACACAAAAAAATTTGTATTATCAATGTGTTGTAAAATAAGTGAGGATATAATTGAATTTAAGAAGGTTTCGTATTTAATATTATAGCTCAGACACCTGATAAACTAATAAAAATAGAATAACATTTAAATGAACCATTAAGCGGTTAAATATGGCTGGAAACACACATTTTAACGGCTCACCATCAAAGTAAATAACCAGTTTTATCAAGTATTTTTGTTAAAATGTATACAGTGTGTCCAAAAAAGCCGGATTAATTTGACGAAAACAAGCAAAAATGTCAAGAAATCTGACTTTTAAATCACGGGTGAAAATATGTCAAATCGGTTTTGCATTACCACAAAAAAATTACGGGCGTTAAATCTGGACTACCAGCTGGCCATGAAGTACAAGTCTATTGCCGATCCAGTTTTCATCATAAATGTTTTTCAGAATAAAAAAAAAATGGTCTAATGTTATTACTTATTAGGCAGAACTTCTCTCGTCCTTAAAGTGAATCAAACAAATCCAGTGTTGTTTTATAAAAGTTGAATAGCATTTATTACGCAAAATTTGAAGATAATCGTAACTTAATTATATATTAAAATTCGTCAAAAAAAGTATAAAAATTTAAGTATGTAATGTAATCTACTTTGCCGTCTTTATTTTTTTTTTGTTATTTTTTGAAGTAACCTTTTTTATTAGCATTTTTGCGGACTTCTTTGATCCAGTTTTTCCATTTTTTTTGTTTTTTTTTCACTTTTTTAAGTTACCTTTTTTTGTTGCATTTTGTTGTTAACTTTTATGTTGCGTTTTTTGTTTCTTTCTTATCGCCTTTTGCCATTTGTTTTTGTAAAAATCTTTTTTTTGTTGATTTTTTTGTTTCTGTAGCCTTTTTTGTGGACTTTTTTTGTCACTTTTTTTGTAACGTTTTTTTATTTTTTTTTTGCGACTTTTTTTGTGCCATTTTTGACTTTCTTATTTTGTCGCCTTTTTTGGCCTCTTTTTTAGTCACTTTTATAGTGGTCTTTTACTGCGTTTTCTTGGGTTTTTGTTCTCTATTTTCGCATTTTTTGTGACTTTCCATAACTGTCTTCTGTTGCCCTTATTTTTTGTGAGTTGTCGCTTTTCCGTTTTGAAGCGAAAAATTTCAAATTGCAAAATTGATAAATCGAAAAACTGAAAAATTAAAAATTGAAAACTTGTGAAATTGTGGATCAAAAAATTGAAAAATTGGAACTGAAAAAAAATTATGAAGTCGGAAAATTGAAAAATCGAAAAATTGTAAAAAAAAGAATAATTGTAAATCGCAAATTTTAGGAAATGAAAAAATAAATAAAAACAATCGAACTAAAAAAAGAAATAGAAAAATTGAAAACGCAAGAAATTTTAAATCGAAAAATTGCAAAACTAAAAATTGAAGAAACAAAATAAATGAAAAATTTGGGAAATCGCAAATCAAAAAATTCTTTTAATTTCTGTATTCCTATTTTCGATTTTGCACTTTGCACAGTTTTTGTTTTCCACTTTTTAGCTTTTTCAAATTTTCATTTTGGTTTATTTCGTTTTTTCATTTTTTAATTTTCGATTTTATAAGTACGCAATTTTTCCATTTTTTGATTCGAAAAGTTAAAAAATCGAAAAATCGGAAAAACTGAAATACCAAACACCTGAAAAAACGAAAAACTGCAAATCGATAAATTGGAAGATCAAAAATTGTAAAATTCAAAAATTACCGAGCCGTCAAATTGTAAAGTCGAAAAACTGGAACAGTGAAAGTCAAATGACAAATGACAAATTAAAAATCGAAAAATTAAAAATGTAATAAAACAGTCTAAAAATCCAATAGTTGAAAAATTAAAAAATTCTAAAACCGTAAAATTATTATCAGATTTTTGAAGTGAAAACTAGGAAAATTGCAAATCAATTGAAGAAACACGAAAAATTGAAAAATCGAGAAACCGAAAAATCCAACATCGAAAAAACGAAAAATTAAAAAAATGTAAAAATTGAAAAATCGGAAAATTGAAAAATTTTACATTGAAAAAAAGAAAAATTATAAAACTGGAACGTAGGTTGTTTTTGTTGATTTTTTTCTTTGTTTGTGTAGCCGTTTTTTGTTTTTTTGTAACTTTTTTCTTTTTTGTGACTTTTTTTGGTGCTATTTTTGACTCCTTTATTTTGTCGCTTTTTTTGACACGTTTATTTTTTTTTTCTTATTTTTTTCCACTGTCGTTTTTTATTTTTGTTGTGACTTTTTATAACTGTTTTATTGTCCTTATTTTTTGTAATTTTTTGTCGCTTTTTCGTTTTAAAACAAAAAATTGCAAATCGCAAAATCGAAAAATCGAAAAACTGAAAAAAAAGAAAATAAAAACCCAACTGAAAAATTTAAATCGAAAATTTGAGGAAATGAAAAAGAAACTAAAAATTGAAAAATAAAAAATTGAAAACACGAGAAATTTTAAAACGAAAAATTGCAAAATTAAAAATTGAGGAAAAATAAATGAAAAATTTGAGAAATCGCAAATCGAAAAATTGAAAAAATTAGGTTGAAAAAACAAAAAATTGTTTGAGTTTCTTTATTCGTTTTTTCGATTCTGTACGTTTTCGATTTTTAAGTTTTGCAATTTTTGGATATTGGAATTTCCAACTTTGCGTTTCTTCAATTTTTCCATTTCTTGATTTCCACTTTTTAGGTGTTTCAGATTTTCATTTAATCCTTTTTCGTTTTTTCATTTTTTAATTTTCTGTTTTATAAACATGCAATTTTTCCAGTTTTTGATTTGGAAAGTTAAAAAATCGAAAAATCGGAAAAAATCAAACACCAAAGAACTGGAAAAACGAAAAATTGCAAAATCGAAAAAGTGGAAAATCGAAAAATTGCACTAGAGAAATCAAAAATTGAAACATTGGAAAACTAAAAATCATGACACGTTAAAATCGGAAAAAATGATGAAAAAATGGAATGGACAAAATAAATTGAATCGATAAATTGGAAAATTGAAAAATCGAAAAATTATGGAATCGTCAAATTATAAAGTCGAAAAACTAGAACAGTGAAAGCTCGAAAATTTGAAAAATTAATAATCGAAAAATTGAAAAAGTGAAAAATTGGAAAATTGAAAACCGAAAACTTGTAAATTGAAAATTTGAAAACTCCAAACATTGAAAAACTTCACATTGAAAAAAAGAAAAACTGATTTTATGTTGCGTTTTTTGTTTCTTTCTTTTCGCCTTTTGCCATTTGTTTTTGTAAAAATCTTATTTTTGTGGACTTTTTTGTCACTTCTTTTTGTAACGTTTTTTTTATTTCATTTTTTTGCCACCTTTTTTTGGTGCCATTTTTGACTTTCTTATTTTGTCGCCTTTTTTTGGCCTCTTTTTTTAGTCACTTTTATAGTGGTCTTTTACTGTGTTTTCATGAGTTTAACTGCCTTCTGTTGCCCTTATTTTTTGTGACTTGTCGCTTTTTCGTCTTGAAACGAAAAATTTCAAATTGAAAAATTGATAAATCGAAAAACGGAAAAATTAAAAATTGAAAACTTGTGAAGTTGTGGATCAAAAAATTGAAAAATTGGAATTGAAAAAACAAAAAATTATGAAGTCGGAAAATTGAAAAATCGAAAAATTGTAAAAAAAAAATAATTGCAAATCGCAAATTTTAGGAAATGAAAAAATAAATAAAAACAATCAAACTAAAAAAAGAAATAGAAAAATGGAAAACGCAAGAAATTTTAAATGGAAAAATTGCAAAATTAAAAATTGAAGAAACAAAATAAATGAAAAATTTGGGAAATCGCAAATCAAAAAATTCTTTTAATTTCTGTATTCCTATTTTCGATTTTGCACTTTGCACAGTTATTGTTTTCCATTTTTTAGCTTTTTCAAATTTTCATTTTGGTTTATTTCGTTTTTTCATTTTTTAATTTTCGATTTTATAAGTACGCAATTTTTCCATTTTTTGATTCTAGAAGTTAAAAAATTAAAAAATCGGAAAAAAATGAATATCAAAGAACCGAAAATTGAAACATTGGAAAACTAAAAATCAAGAAACGTAAAAATCGGAAAAAATGATGAAAAAACAAGATGAACTGAATCGATAAATTGGAAAATCAAAAAATTGAAAAACCAAAAAATTACGAAATCGTCAAACTGTAAAGTCGAAAAACTGGAACAGTGAAAGCTGGCAAATTTGAAAAATAATTTGAGAAATTAAAAATCGAAAAATTAAAAATGGAATAAAAGTTTGAAAATCCAATATGTAGTTGAAAAATTAAAAAATCTAAAAAAATCTGAAAAAGTGAAAAAATTTCACATTGAAAAAAGATAAATTGATTTGAATTGTTGCGTTTTTGTTTCTTTTTTATCGCTTTTCGTCACTTTTTTTGTTGATTTTTCCTTGTTTCTGTAGTCTTTTTTGTCGTTTTTTTTTTGCAAAGTTTTTTTTATTCTTTTTTGTGACCTTTTTTTGGTATTTATTTGTTGGCTCTTTTGATACTTTTTTACATTGTCTTTTTTAATTGCTTTTTTGTGCCTTTCTATAATAAATTGATGACGTCATCTCAAAATTTTTATTAATCCTATCTAAAATGTGCAAACTATGATGAGTTCAGATTTATCATTCAATTCGCAAAATCTAATTTTATAATTAAAAAAAAAAAAAAACTTGGAGATGTTTTTTATTGTACTTAACTTGTAAACGTCATAATTGTCATAATTTTTTCATTGTCTTTTTCATTACATTCATTGTGATGTTAACTCCTTCTGTTAGCCACGTTTTTTGTGACTTATTTTATTATTTTTGTGTATTTTTTTTGTTGTGTTTTTTGTCCTTCTTTGTCGTGTTTTTTGATTCCTGTCTTTTAAATGTTATAACATATGCTGTATTGTACTTTATATATCCAAATTCTATAATAGCATTTTAAAGTAGTATACAATGAACACGAGCCATTTTTTTTACATTGTGACTAATATTATCTACATATATATTTTATAACTTATAATTTTAAACTTTTAAGGTGGATTTGTTGAACTTTACTTCGGGGGCGAGGGAAGTTCTCTCAGTGTAACCTCAGATTAATTTTTTGTCACATAATATATATTTAGTCTTTTTGTGAGTGTTTTTTTATTAAAAAATATTCGGACTGGAAAATAGATATAGTTATGTGGGAAAATTTGTTCTGTCGGGGAAGTCGCTATGTCGAGGTTATCACTTATCACGACCAAGAAAGCTCGTTGAAATCGTTCGTAAGAAATTCGTATCCTCCGCCGCTCCCGGCGCCCCGCCTCTGTCCATAACAAGCCCATTTATCCCGGCTCCGTATTTATAACTCCCCCAAGAAAGATAATCATATGACGCGCTCCCAGCAGCACATGGCCGGCCGTTCCGTTGGGCAAGTCAGTGTTAAAATAAGCGTCTCGACGCTAGGAAGCCGCAGCCCGCAGCCGCCGCGAAAGTCGTACCTGTGCAGACGCGAGTGTCCCAGCCATGGACTCCCCCCCTCGCAAGCCGCGGCCCATCCTGCCCTAAGCGGCCGCCGCCGAGTCCGATGGTAGAGCAAGATGTTGGACATCTTCCGCGGACTCAAGTCCCTCATCAGAGTCAGCCACATCCACACCGACTCGCCGATCTTCCGCCTCCACTACTCCATCACGGTGCTGGTCCTGGTCGCCTTCAGCCTGATCGTCACCACCAGGCAGTACGTGGGCAACCCCATCGACTGCATCCACACGAAGGACATCCCCGAGGACGTGCTCAACACCTTCTGCTGGATACACTCCACGTACACGATCAAGCCGGAGAAGCGGTGGAAGGCGGATGCCAAATTGGGGTACCCGTACCCGGGGGTGCAGACCACGGTGGACGAGAAGGACAAGAGGCTGATCAAGTATTACCAGTGGGTGTGCTTCTGTCTGTTCTTTCAAGTGAGTAATTAATGAGATGGGGTCTAGAAAAAAAAAGAGCGGAACGGGAAGAAGGGAAAACTACCAGATTGATATTTATTAGGCAGCGTAGACACTGACAAAGGGCTTGAATAAGTGCCAAGATTTATTTTGGAAAAGTCTTAAGTTTAGGCGTATGATAAACAAAATTGAAATCGTGGGACGGCATAAGTAACAAAAGTTAATTTCTGAATTATCGCTTCCTGAGATCGTGATTTACTAAATATAAATGTTTCTTTTTTTCACATCCTGTCAAAATTATCATTTTTTTGAAGTTTCGATAGTTTTCTTACAATTTTTTTTTTCATAAATAAAAATGTTTTAATTATTACAATTTTCAAATATCGATTTTTCAGTTTTTAAATAGAACAACCCATATTTTATTACTGCATCTTATACTATTTTTTGTTTTGTTCTTATCTTTTTTTATAAACAGTCTATATTTAAATTTGATTTAGTTGATATAGTAAGACAGACTTTAAACATGAGCCTAGTGCGATTTTTTGTGAACCCTTCCATTGCAAGAAAATTTTAAGGAAATTGGAATAACGTGGCAACGTCGCATCAAGTAAAATGTGGTAGACGTCACTAAAAATATGCAAAAATATATAGGATGTTTCATTAAAAAAACTAATTAGTATGTTATCGTCTATCTGTCTATTTATATTACGAATATCATGTAGATGGTCACACGCTAACCAAAATTTCTCTAATCATCCCCACCAATTATACGTTACTTCAAAATTGTACATGGAAAATAAGTTTTAAATTGCATAAAATAACATAATCCTATACATGTAGTTTATGATTCCGTATTGAGATTTTACCCAAAACGTCAAGAGGCTTAGAAAAAGATCAAAATTATAGTCTATACTTGTGATTTATTTATAATATATAATTAGTATTTTTTTAAATTTGCTTATACAGTCTGTCTCAGAAAAATTAATGACTGTCTTGTTAAATAATAAGTAATCAATCAGATTTAGGAATTTACCACCTTTTAAATTTAGCAAGTTTTTACAAGTTTAATAGAGGGAATAATCAGTCTTCTCCTAGCAAGTATTAGCCCCGCCCACCCGCCCTCTATTTTCTCTCAGGGTATGGCGTTTGCCAAAATCAGGCTTATCTGAGCAAAAGCTAGCCCCGCCCACCCGCCCCTATTTTCTTAGAGGGTAAGTCATCTGCCAAAATAAGACTTATCTTAGCAAGTACTAGCAAGACTACCCTCTGAGAAAATTATGGGCTGGTGGGTGGGGCTAGCATTACTTGCTAAGATAAGTCTTATTTTGGCAAATGACATATCCTCTGAGAAAATAGGGGGCGGGTGGGCGGGGCTAGTATTTGGTGAGATAATACTGATTTTGGTAAATGACATATCCTCTGGAAAAAACCGGGTGGGTGGGCGGGGCTAGTACTTGATACGATAAGGCTGATTTTGGCAAATGACATATCCTTCGGGAAAATAGGGGGGGGGGGGCGGGCCAAGTATCTGTTAAGATAAAACTGATTTTGCCCTTGTAAAAACTTTTGAAATTTAAAGGCGTTAAATTGCAAATTTCCATAGTAACGAAAATTCATAAATCTACTCGAAGTGTGCAAAATATGATGAGTTTTTACTTGTGATTTATCATTGCATTAATATTTTTTAGATCTGGTTATACAGGTAGCTCAAAAAAAAAAAAATGAATGTGTCAATTTATTTTATTGATTAAATCAGGAACGACTCACTCCATTTTCCCGGAAAATTTTGGGAACACAATACTGTTTTTTAGTATTACACTGCACCAATCCAAGTTGATATTCGTGTCACTGGAAAAATGTTGATGACGTCATCACAAAATTCTGTAAAATAAAAACTCCACTCAGAAATGCTGGATTTATTTCTTTCGGTGCGAGGGAAGTTCTTTTTTTTATTTTTTGGCACCATTTTTTGACCTTTTTTTTAGACAGTTTTTGTAGTGATGTTTTTCTCTTTTTTAATGTTTTTGGCATTTTATCGCATTTTTTTTAACTGTTGTTATTTTTTGATTGATCTTTTTTGTTGTTTTTTTCGTGACGCTTTGTCTCTCTTGTTAGGTGCATTTTTTGTTACTTTTTTCTTTTGGTCAATTTTTTGTAGTTTTTTTGTTGCATTTTATGCATCGTTTTTTTTGTTTCTCTTTTAATGATTTTTTTTTCGCCACTTTTGAGTCCCTTCTTTTGTGGTCTTTATGATTTCTCATGTTCTAACTGTTTTTTTTGTCCTCTGTTTTTGCACTTTCTACTTTGAAAATTTTAACTGCCTTTTTTGTTGCTGTTTCGTGACCTTTTTGACTTTCTTGTTACTTTTTTCGCTTTTTGTTCTTTGTCCTTTTTTTTTGTAAATTTTTTGTATACACCTTTTTTTTTTGTCGCGTTTTTTTACATCGTTTTAATTTTATTTCTTTTTTTAATGTTTTTTTTTGTCGCCACATTAGACTCTTTTCTTTTGTCCTCACTTTGATTCTCTTCTTTTAGTCGCATTTTTAGGTTTCTACTTTTTAATTTCTTTTACAGTTTTTTGTCTTCTGTTTTGGCATTTTTTGTTGTATTTTTTGTAACCTTTTTTGACTGTTCTGTCAAGTGCATTTTTTGTTACTTTTTTGTCACTTTTTTCTGTGTTCTTTTTTTAAATATTTTTTTTGTCACTTTTTTGTAGTCACATTTTTTGCATCGTTTTTTTTTTCTTTCTATTTTTAAAGACTTTTTATTGCCAATTTTGACTCTCTTCTTTTATCCTCTTTTTGACTCTCTCCTTTGTCATTTTTTAGTCACTTTTTGTAGCCTTGTTCTCATATTTTATCTTTTGTTTGTCCTGTTTTTCGCTTATTGTGGAATTTTTGTTTATTGTTAATTCGTAATTTTTTTATGAGATTCAATTAATTAAAAAAATAATATTCATAACTTAAATTATTATTAATGCGAGAAATTTTTCAAAATCTAAAATATAGTGAATCTCGAAAATGTGTGTGAATACTGAAGTCTCTTGCTTTTTTAAGTTGTGGCGGCACAATAACACGTCGGTAAGCGGAGAAAGATAAGCTTCTCCGTAGTCTAGTGGTAAGGACACCCACCCGGCAAGCGGTAAACTTGTGGTTCAATTCCCACCGCTTATTTACAGATTAATAGGTCTAGAGATTTATTTTTATAACAAAACCTAGACAGTTTAGCTGAGAATATTTCTTAATTACTTCTATGGAACTAAAATTATAAAATTTTCAGCCGTTCTTGATTTGATTCATTCATTTTTCTCAGTCACCCTATACCAGTATCAATAAAAATTGATAAACTACAAGTAAGAGATCATAATATTTTGTTTATTTTAAATAGGATTTACTCGGCGAAATTTTGAGATGACGTTATCAATTTTTTGGAGTCGAGATCTCCCTGTGAAGGTAAATTGTTTTTAAGAATTTAGCTTCTCACGGACACCAATAAATATTGTTTTTATTTACACCTGAACGTGCTCGCTGCGCTCGCATTTTAAATTTGTTTTAAAGATTATGATCATTATTCCAAAACAGTACACACTAACAAATAAGACTGTGTTTAAAATATGTACATAATTAGTAATTACACAAACGGACTAGATATACATTGTATTTTTACAGACTCACATAAATCTTGACCTAATTAACCGTACAAACGACATAAAATTGTTGAAGTGAAATCCTGAAAGTTTATTTATTTTTTCACTTTTACATTTTCGATGGTCGAGAGTGCAAGTTCACCTAAACAGTGTTAGAAGTTTATAGAAAAATCATCTTGTAAAGTAGGTTGCCCTGAAGTATACTTCTGTGAGGTTAGTTTATTTCTGAAAATGTCTGCAATTTTACAATTTAATGATAATGCATTTCCTCCGGAAAGTTGATGACGTCATCTCAAAAAATTAACACAGGACGTGGTATCATAAGAAATGAGCTTACTTAATATTTAGGTATTTATTATGGTGACGTTATTTTAAAAATCTGTTAAACATTAAAAGTTTGGATTGTAGAGTGAGTGTTAAGTTTTTTGTCTCTTGTCTCATCGTGGTCTTGTAGATAAGGTGCCAACTGTCCACGAATATCCTCTTGGATCGAAAAAATTACTTTTGTGTTTTTTCAAGGCGAAACCCAACTGCTGATTCACAAATTAGCATCGAGGACACCGCTCCACATTTTTACGATTGCACTAACACTCGTCTTTAAAAGCCCATAAACCGTGTTTAGATTGCGCAAATATAGAAAAAGCAGTCGGACGTTAATCATTGAGGAAACACAAACTCGGCTGGATATTGTTTGGACTTTAATTATTACTGAGTCAGTCAGCTTCAGATTAGTCAACTTCTAATTTAGATACCAACAGGTGTTTCTTTCCACTTCGCGACCTCTGCGCTGCTCTATTTTCACGAATGTATATCGCATTGTTCCATTTATTCGGGGTTTTTGGGGCATGATTTGATGCGTATTGTTTGCTCTTAAATCTGCTTCGAATTGGATCGTCGGAGGAAAGGAAATAATTGCTCTTGCTATAAAAGAAAACAGATGGGGGGTTGTTGGCAGCGGGATTTCTTTCGGACGGGTTATGAGCTTTTGTACTCGATAATGGCAAGTCGAAAAGGCGATTCACTCGTTCGGGAATGGGGCAAAAAGTTTTATTGAATATTAGCTGAATAAGAGCTAATTTGGTTTATCAGTAACCGAATAACCCTTTTTTTGGAAGGGAATTTTATTGTGTTTTTAAATTTAAACGGGTTTCATGGAGAGCTGGAAAAAACGGGAACATTCAAGGAGATCGTGGAGATAAAGTTGTTGCGAGAATAGTAGAAGTAAATAAAAAGACGAGAAAAAAAACGAACTTTTGAAAACGAGGTGGATGAAAAAAGAAAAATGTAGACAAAGAAACGTCAGACAAAGACTGGGAGAATTTAGAAACGAAATGAAAGCTCACGATAAACTAAAAAAAGAAAATTAAACAAGAGC